TCGAGCAAAGAAATTATAATTTTCAAGTTCAAAGGACAAAAAAGATATGAAAATGTAATCTTCCAGACCATGCTTACTTGAACCAATTCCAGGTAAATTAAATAGGGTGGGTATTCAAGAGATGTAGATAGTGGTGAAGAAAATGACCATCAAGCAAAGAAATTATAATTTTCAGAGGACAAAAAAGATACGGAAATGTAATCTTCCAAACCATGCTCGCTTGAACCAATTCCAGGTATAGAAAGATCATTCTATCACAAGAGTGGTAGCAGTAGAACTTCGACCTAAGCAAGGCCACCCAAACAGTGCTAACGACAAGTAGAACTAAAAACAACATATCAGAATATTATGCATTAAGGAGAAACAAAATAACAACGTCTAGTTGCTTGTGCTATTGTTTTTGTCATTATGACTCAACGGGCAATAGAACAAAATTAGAAGGAAGACTTATTCCTTGCACTACTGTTTTCTTCATACTGATGGAAATAATAAAACTGGTAGCAAAGCAGGCGTCATGAAGGGTACGTCCTTGCATCAAGATGCCTTCAAATCATCTAGACCCACGCTCGCCTGCAGTTAGAGCAAACAAGTTTCTCCCTCGATGAACATTTACTCGAGCACTAGCAACTGAAGCTATCGATCATAGGGTTCTTACCAGGAACTTGTGGTTCTCTGCTAGAAGAGGGGCAAAGGTTGTGCAAAATTTCTCCATGTCAGCATTGATGTCACCCGATCCACTAATAACCTCCATGAATTTCTTCCGATCAGGAGCAAGTTTCATAGCAACCTGCAACCAACTTAACTGGTCATAGAGACAGTAGGGACTTTTAAAATGATCAAAAGGCTTCCGTCCTAGTTATTTTTTGTTCATGAAAACTTTGGAGTTGAAACAGCAGAGCATGCTTGCAGGTTCTGAAAAGGATAATCCGGTTCCAAACAGAAACGAGAAACAAAAGTTGATAGCACACAGTAATGAAAACTAGTAATAAGGTGTACAAGTTCAATGCCATTATGTTATATAATCTCTCTCCCTCAGAGAAGAGTTTAATCTAGTACGATGTGTCTACGGTCATAGAATCTCTCTCCCTCAGAGCTCTAAGTAAATGTCAAAGATGGATGGATCAAGAGACAACAAGCATAACAAACATATATATTTGACACGTAAGATGCTTCAAACTTACAAGTGCTAAGAGAAACACCATGTATGTCCTATTCCTACTCATTCAATAGATTAGCTGCTTTAAACTTAATTGTTGTTAAAAGATACATGCCATGTACAACACATTACCGTAAAGCTGGAACTTGCAAGCCATCCATGCCATTTCTTTAAAGTCTTGTTATAGGAATCAGTACAAACTTGTGACATGATCCAGTCTTGATGATCTAGCAAGTTCCGGAATAGCTCCACCAGATAGTCCATTGCTCTGGAAGACAAGTGCATGCATAAAAGTCCTGCTGTTATTTACCATAACAAGGAAATTATTATGAACTCAGAAAAGTTCGACAAAAAGGCAATATTGATGATGACTTGTTCAGCATGATTTGCAAAAGCCAAGTCCTATTGGACATATCCATATGTATTCTGATTACACTAAATGGAATGTGTTTATTTGTCGAACTATTTTAACTTTATTTCCTTTGACAGATAAACTTTCCAAATTTCACAGTTTTCAGTCAATATAATGTTTAGATATGCAAAAGAAGCAGAAACCATAATTCAGACATAAAAACACTCTATTGTATTGGATACGTTTATGTCAATGCTTAGCTTGCCAATTTACCTACGAGGGATAAGAGTCTTTCATAAAAATTGAACAAGACACATATAACCCTCTCAAGGTTCTATGATATGAAAAATGAAGGGAAAAAAAAATACAGGCACTACCAGAGTTAAAATGTAAAGTTCAGTTCTCAAAGATGAACTGTGTTTAAATTCACTACTGAAGAATGAGCAATATCAAATTGTGTTCATATATGGTTTCTCTGAGGAGAAGTTCCTGGGACTACATATCTCCACAAATCTCAACATTCAGGCATTTGCGGATGACACAGCTGGTAAACATGTTCATCCTCATCAATATTCCTTGTAGTATAGGTAGTGAGAGTTGTTTCTTAGTTCACAAACTAAGTGAATTATAAGTTTTCCTATGACCTTTTACTGTCATGAACTGTTGCTGAGGCATTCTCCTCTATACAATGCATAATAGTCAAGGCCAGCGTCAATTGGTCAAGCTGATCATCACAGCAATGTGCGAATAAAATTTGAAGAGCACTTGCAATCCAGCACCATGACGAATGAGTTGGATGCTTGGTACCCCACATATTATACACTCTTTTGCACGTATCTTTATGCACAAATTATGATCTATACATGTATGCATAACACAATGCGAGATTAAACCCTACCAGAAATGAACCAAGCAACTCACCTCGTCAACCACAGAAGCCCATTGGTACAGCTGGAAGAACCTTTTGCTGTTTTAGCTTCGACTTCAACTTGCACCATACTGTACAAGTGTTCAAACTTTGATGGATCAGAATTATATTTCGTTTCCAGCCTCTGCAAAGTAAACCAGTGAATACATGCAAGCGATGCAAAAGAAAGAAGACAAACAAAGTATTTTACCAAATAATATATTTTTCATTAAATTTCATTTCAAAAGCTATGCTGGACCAACTAGTCATTGCCAAATAAGCATATCATAGGGAAGAAGAGAAGACAATTGGGACTTGGAGAAGCAACATCATGATATCCTATTAAACGAAAACCTGAAAATCCTAACTTATTAGTAAAGGAAACAAAAGAATACACATTTCTTACCGTAATATTACCCCCTATATCAGACTTGACAATAGACATAGCTGCTCCAAACTTATCTGGCAATACCAAACTAAAAATTAGAAACAATATCAAAGAGATATGCATTTTAAGATAAAACGTTCTGGAAAAAAAAAAAAGAATCAACATTAAGATGATTGATGCCTCAAAATATTTGGTAAGCAGACAAACCCTTGTCAATAAGTTCCAAGAGAATAAAGTTGTTGGAGTTAATAAATTGCTTTCACACAGAGCTTAGAGAAGTAGCAGAATTTCTATTCTAAGAACAGGATTTATATGATATAAAAGTGTATTATGTTATGCAAAGGAATAACTAAGGAACACTACAGTAAAACATGGTGGATTTGCTGATGCTCAAGCTTTTATTATGTTGTTTTCTTATCGGTCCATGATTTCTACTGTAAAGCATATGCCAGTCGCTTAGAGGATCAAATTGAGCAAAGTTTTTAGGCAAAAAAAATGGGGCATCCTGAACAACCGAGCAAATATTAGTGAGTACCTAAAAGTCACACAACGTAGATAAAAGCCATTGTGCTCAAGTAGACAAATTACAACATAAATGAAGATCATTATATGGATGTTCTCCTAACAGCCTGTTCAATATCTGTGATGAATTTCTTGCAAAACTCTCATCAGAATCAGGTCCGTGTCTTTCCAATAACAACATAACCAGCTTTAACTAGACACTTACCATAGGTGAAAATGATGATAAGGCATAAATAGACGAGCAGAACGAGCCAATTACCTAGAACTGGCAGAATAAGCTTGCACACATCAAGAAATGGCTTTGTTAATATTACTCCATTCTCTGACTTGACATGCTTCATTCCTTCCAGCGAGGGAGTGAAAACGGTCCCCGCCATCTCTACACGCCGATCCTTCAACCTATTAAAATCACACGAGAAACAAAACTTTAGAACAGCATGTTGCTCAATCGGTACAAGCAAAAAACCCAAACTCAATACTAGACCTCGTCGGATCGTTAACTAGTGACAAAGGCAACCGATCCGATCCAAATATCAGAATCATCCTATCAAATTCCAATCCAAGCAAACTCGTGGAACGGTTGCTAACAGCCGAGCACGGCCCATCAGAACTAGCATTCAAATGTTCAAGATCACACAAAATGACAAATCGTCCCGGAAAAAAAGCAACCAAAATAAGAGAATGTTAGAACAGAATCAAGCACCACACCGTTCTCGATCTGAGATCTTGTTAGGAATCAATGACTCGACGAGCTTAAACCTAATGCACGCATTAAAGGGATAAGAAAGCAATCTCAGACAAGCTAATCTACATGATCCTACATAGATCCTTCTAAAGAATCCCATCCTTTTGTTTCAGATACATCAAAAGAACTACCAAAGATCCGACCATTATTCCAGATCCAATGACAAACTGAAAGAAAAAGACAAGTTCTCGGGGGTGATCTGTCAAGAACTAACCGACTCCCAGAAAATTTCTCCGACGGAACCGCCTCTTCTCGTTCTCCTCCTCCCAGACTCTCAGATCAAGCAGACTAAGAGCATCGGAGGCTATGCATTTATAGGGATCGCCGACACCAATGCGGGGAAAGGAATCGAGGAGTCGGGTTTGAGGGTGTAAACAAAGGCATCATAGCGGCGTCGTGACACCACGTTCGCGTGGAGAATTTAAAACGAAGAGGTCCCACATTGTGCTCGATGATCTCTCCAATAACGACGCTTGGGCGGTTCGACGAATCGTAAGAAACGTAATGCGTCGAGATAGATGTCCGGTCCGAAAGGTTCGAATCAAACCTTCAAGTCTCGATTAGGTTTATATATGACTCGAGATGTTCAAGAAATTGCCTCGAACCGACTCGACCAGATATGGAAGCAGATCGAGTTTTCGACACAAAACTCGCTCAAATCAAATTCGAGACGAATTCGGGCGGAAAAATAGGTCTATGAATTGGCATTTAAATATTAAATGATAATTAATAATGTTATGAATATTTGCTTTTGGACCAAATTTATATACAAAAAGTAATTAATATCCGTATTTGTATTTGTATTTGTATTTGAATTATAAGCGGAGGCAGCGGCATTTCCGTACTGATCATTGTGCCCTAGATCGGACGGTCACCGGAGCTGCATCAAAACCCCTAATGGTTGGATATATACTGATACGTCTATGAACCCGCCGATCCCCCTTTTTGCCGTCCCGTTTGTTCGCTCCCATCGACTGCGGCGGACGTTCTCGGTCTCTTGTCTCTCTGTGTCGCCCGCAAGATGGTGAGGAATCTTACCGCCTTTTTCTCCTCGATTCGTTGGTCTCTTGCATTGCATCTCAGCCCCTCGTTCTAATCTAATGCTCTTGCTTTGCTCTTGAGCTGATCTGGCTGTGTGTTTTTCCGGTGATCCTGTAGCCGTTCAAGCGATATGTGGAGATCGGCAGGGTTGCCCTCGTGAACTACGGAAAGGAATACGGCAGGCTTGTCGTCATCGTTGACGTGATCGATCAGAACAGAGTACGCATTCCTTCTCTTGATTGTGAGAAAGCTTCGATTTTGGGCGTAATCAAACATCTAGGGCTGACTTTAGGGGTCTCGAAAGGACTAATACTCTTCTCGTTCGTCAAAATCTGTTATTTTCATCGATTTTGTTGCTTTATTACGTTGTCTTTCTGCGTGATGGAGAGCGGCATGCTGGTACTAGTAGAGGGTGTTTGTTCCCACAATGAGATTTTCTCAAAGTATAGAAGAACGTATGGGTGTTGGGATCATTTCCTCGACTCTCTTCTTTCCTAAATGAACATATTATTTTGGTGCAGTTTAGCGATAGCTTCAACCAAACTAGTGAAACACTTCAGGACAATGACAATAACAACAAGCTGCAATGTCCCAACTACTTGGGGTGTTAGATACATGGCTATTTTGCTGCCATATAGTCAAGTAGAGCATTTTAATCTTTAAGCTTATGCCAGCTATTTAGGGTTGAGGACATAGATCTTTTTCAGCTGATGAGCTCTGCACAAATAATATTATAATTTAGATTAATAGCATTTAAATCCTTAAGTTAGTGAAACACTTTGTAATTGTAAAATGTGACTCCCTTCACTCCATAAATTAGGTACTTTCACCAAATGGAAACAAAGTGGTGATCTGTAAGTGCACAAGACGCGGACCTATCAGTGTATGAATAACTAGAGGAGAGTATGGGGCTTTTCTTGTGAACCTCAACAATGTCCATAAGAATTACAGAGTGAAGTGCTAGTGTTCTTCTGCCCGATTGAGTGTCCTCCTGCTGTTTGTTTATTCTTTATGTTTGCTTGTGCTGCACACTGTATCTCCACAGATTTTACAGCTTCTCTTGGAACATGTTTTTTGTTTAACATTGAGCGAGTTTCCATCTGATTTTACATGTGAGCTTATGCTAGTGGCTGTATCTTGTATTACTCTCCAAGATATGTATCCGATATTCTCAGTTCGCTTGCACATAAACTTTTATCGCAATGGCTGTCTAGATGCTCAACACTATATTTGCTGAAATATCAACAGAATTGTATCAGGTTCCAAAACATTTTATTGTGCATCTGTCTTTGCAGTCTAAGTTTGGGCTTTAAGCCAATTGAATTTATTATTCATATTCTCTCAATTATGACCATTTTCCTTAGAATCATATAAGATTGTTTTTATTTCGAAGTATTTATCTAGTATTTGGTAGACTAGTTAAGGTATATATACTGTGTCAATTGCATATCACCAATGTCTTGGTGCATGCAAACTTATACTATATTTGTTGGAGTCTTGGATACAAGACAGATTCAATATTATTTATGTGGCTATATGATATTTTGTCTTGAAATTCTAAATACTCACATACTTTATTTCACTGGTCGCAAGACATGCAATGCTACTTACCTTTTTTTAACTGCGGTGAGGATCTCGAGTTTTTAAGGCATGAGTTGATAATTGGTCTTTCACCTGCATCTGCCGCAACTTTTAGGCCTTAGTTGATGCTCCTGACATGGTACGTGGCCAAATGAACTTCAAGAGGCTTTCACTCACTGATATAAAGATCGACATACCACGAGTTCCCAAAAAGAAGACCCTTATCAGTGCCATGGAGGCTGCTGGTAAGATAATTGATTTTCCTCGTTCATTGGTGGATTAACATGTAGTTCTGTGGTTATAATAACTCATGTACTGCTGCTGCTGCTGCTGCTGCAGATGTGAAGAACAAATGGGAGAACAGTTCGTGGGGCAGGAAGCTAATCGTGCAGAAGAGGAGAGCTTCGCTAAATGACTTTGACAGGTTCAAGGTCATGCTGGCAAAGATTAAGGTCTATACCTCAGCCATTGTTTCCTTTTAACTTGTATATCTTCTTTTGGGCATCATGCTGACAAGTCCATCCTCGTATATATTTGTTCAGAGAGGAGGTGCTATCAGGCAGGAGCTGGCCAAGCTAAAAAAGGAGAACGCAGCTTGAGCTTCTCACGAGTGGTTGGTGAATTTTGTTCGATACATCTTGGAACTCCATTTGTGTTCGTTAGGATTGGATTTTCTGCAGATCGTTGGACTTAGGTTGGGAGTACTGATGGCCTTGAAATATTAAATTGCAAGCTTTGGTTCTCATGTCATCTTTGTCCTCACCATGTGTTGCTGCTTTCTTCAATTATTGCCCCGCAAGTGATCTGAATCCTTCAGGGATTGTTTTGGTGTGAAATTGTTGCTATGATATTTCGTGTACCAAGCCACACTACTGCAAGACCAGTGGAGGGCTGTCAAAATGTGGGCCATCAACTGCTTACAATATGAGAAGCAGCACTCGCCACCGCCAGTGTCGTCTTTAGCGAGGGACAGGAAGGTTTAGATTTTGCCTGTTCATTTCCCAGCTAGCAGTGAAAGAAAGCTTCGTTCAGAAGCGAAGGTTATTCATCTAATGCCACAAGGATCAATCGATGATTCCTTAGTTAACCTCGTCTGTCTGGGGTCAACAGACAATTTAAGTACGTCACGAAGGACACGCCGTGAGATGTGACCACCGAGAGAGGAGTTGGTAATGGATGGGTGAGTGGTGGGTGGCGGTACCGTTTCTAGGCATAAAATACCGAACGGTAGGGGAATGATAAAAAATATATGTTATTATTCTTTATTGTTTAAGGCAATTATGCATCATACGAGGGTTCTTTCACAGTCCACAAATTATGAGATTACTAGTGTCCTAAATGCCTTGAATCAAACGTGATTCCAAATTTGCAGTGCAGCAAAGCTTGGATCAAACGTGACATAGGCAATCAATCAAGAAGTGCTCCCCCCAACTCCCCCACCAACAAAAACAAGGTCTGGCTTCAAAACGGACTGCTGCTGCAGTGGAAATCCCACCCCACAACTATTATAGGCAATCAATCAAGAAGGGATTGGATGAAAGTTTATCTTCGGCACCACGACAAGAGTGTACACAACATACCCATTGACTGCGACAGATAATGAGGTATTCCAAATGTGCATGGATGCTCTCGGTATGTTGACAAAATGATGGAGATACTTGGCTCGAGAAAGAGAAAGGTTGACAAAATGATGGAGATACTTGGCTCGAGAAAGAGAAAGAAACAAAATGTGCATGGATGCTCTCGGTATTCACGGGAGATATTTATTGTTACAAGAACATCCAAGCTCTGAAGCAGGCTTTCTTTTTTAGCTAAAAAAGAATAAGACTCGTTGTCATAATAATATTGCAACTCGAACAAGGAGTAGATGTAATAAATGTCAACCGGAAGCAAAATGCCCAGCATGAAGGATTAGAACTCAAGTTGATAACGACATCTTTATGAGAATCAAGAAGCCTCAGCATACAGATCACAAGCATGGAAACTAAACGATAATTTGCGGCACACTGGTCTGTTAGGTCTGAATGAAATTTCGATGCAGCCTCAGCAAAAATAATTGAACGAAGCAAAGTTAGGGCACAGATCAAATTTGTACCTTCCAAGTGTTTATGTAAAATCTTGTTCTGATAGTATGACTGAGAATATGCTATTCTCCCCAACTTCATACAAAAAAAGGCTTCGGTCTTGTCTACGGCATGCCAGAATTTCCGTCCATCAGAATTTTCCCTGCATAAAAACTCTCCAAGAATAATGATGTGCATGCGGACTTCAAATCACTCCATAGTCTAAATGCTCATCCTCAACAGATGTTAGCAAAGCATCATCTAACCATAAGCTATGCAACTTTGTCCGCTACTATAAGCACAACAGAAAAAAAAAAAAATCACCAATAGAGCAGATTGAAATTTTAGGAAATTGTAGTTCATTGCTTCAGATGCAATTTAGTTTCCACGACAAAGAGTATTGTATCTATTAATCAGCTATGTTGCAAGAGCTATGCATTGGCCATAGCCATCCTTACCAAAATAAACACATCACACAGACTGATGCATGTTTGACTCGAGTCCTCCATGGCAGGAGTGGTGAGATCCTACTACTACTGGACCCACAGGGTTAGCCAATCAAACACGATCTTATCAGCCGGAACTACATAAATCTCTCAGCCAACATGTTCATCCACAAATATGTAAATAGAGAATAAATCAATATGTTTGGTCTTTTCATGATTATAAATAGAAAGTCAAATGAACATGTTACATGAATTATACCGAATAAGACATACCATCAGTGGGACAAAAAAAACACATGCAAGGAGACAACTAAAAATATAATTGCTTCTGTAGTCCAAAAGACTGTTGGAATAGAAGAAATTGGAGGAAGGACACAGATAAAGGAAATCAACTATAAGTTGGTTCCATCTACGATGATGTGATCAACAATTCGGTTAGTTCCGGGCCAGGAAAATTGGATTTTTCATCTTAAAGACAAACAAAAGTATTGCCTTCTAGGCAGTACTGGATTGACAACGCACTGCAGAATGCCACCTAGCTTTCACTTGCCTTTCAAGCAAAACTTTCAATATCATGAAAACATACATTTGGAGATAAATCTTTCTGATGAAATTGTAGAAGCATCCACTAGGGCACACACTCCTGCCAATTTTCACCAGAAGAGTGTCTGATGCAAGCTATACGGCTGCTCCTATGACATCTTATGGGAAGCATCGAGAATATTAGATCCTTAACAGGCACCTAAGTAAAAAAAAGGACCAGCTCAAACCAAAGATGCAATGATATTGAGAAAAAATGGCTGAATTTATACTGAAGAAAATTAAATGCCAACATGCATTATATGAAAGAACAACATTAGTTGATGATACATATATTTATATAAATTAGATTTTGACAAAATAACTAGTTACCTAAGCATTACTGAAGGGGTCTGTAATATTCTTTTGTGGACATTGTTTTATGTACAATCACATATGCTTAAGCATTTATAACTTCTGTATCAGCATGTTCTTCCGAGCCAAACAAAATCCAAAACAATGTCAATGTATATAAAAAAAATCTTTCACTTTAAAAGATTAAGATGTGAAACTATACATAAAAAATTTTACTGCATTTATTGTAGATGACTGGAGATATCATCTACTTTAAAAGTATTTCTCAAACACATATAAGTATTAATTATACATAGATAAATCGTATGGTATATTAATAATACATATATTAGTGTTGGGCACTTGGCCCATTAGTTCAACCCATAGTGGGTTTTAATAACCCATAGCCCATAGCTATTAAAACTAAGGGATGTAATACTGTACCGTACCGGTGTTTCGAGGTTGGCTCGGTATGGTACGGTACCAACATACCGAGTGGTACACCAGGACGTACCGAACGGTATACTAGGGCTTATCGAGCGATTTCCTCTTACTGTAGCACTGTAGCACGGTCTGTCCAGTAGCAGGCGGTCTGCGTACCGATATGATGTCGGACCGGTACGTACCGCCCGTACCGGGTAGTACCATTCGAAATTGCATACCATGATTAAAACCCTTTCTCTTTTGACCTAAACCCTAACTCTTTTAACCAAGAGGTGTGGCGGCTAGGGAAGACAAGGACAATGGAGAGGCTATTCTCAATCATCTAGGCAGTATTCCCATCTCAGGTTAGATCAGATTTACAGTGGATTTTTGCTGTGATCATTTGAGGAGATTTTAGATATTGTGCACAGTGACGTAATCCTTGTATCCCAGTTATTCTCTTGTGATTGTTGCTTAGGTTTTGGATAAGAGACTCTAAGATTTGTATATTCATTATTATTCTAGTGGATTTTCTCTTGCTTGTCCCGTGGTTTTTACTTTTTATGTTGGAGGGATTTTTTACGTAAATCTTGGTGTCCTATGTGATTTTGATTTTCATTTAATTCTGCTACGTGTTACGACCTATTTGTATTTGTTCGTATATAAAATTCTCTTTTTATCTCATCAATTGGTATCAGAGCAAGGTTTTGGTGGCATTTAATTTTGTATTCGAACATGGAGACTGGTAGTGTTTCTCGCATGATTAGATTAATCGGAAACAATTGGATGATATGGAAACCAAGAATGGAAGATCTCTTGTATTGCAAAGATTTGTATGGACCTTTGCAAGAGGATAATGCAAAGGCCACAACTATGACAAATGATGAGTGGAAGAGGTTAGACCGAAAAACAGATGAAATGCAAAGTATTAAAGAAAAACGATTGACAACTGAAATATAAAGATGACGCTTCTATTGCTGAATATTTAAATGAAATGTAAAGTATCACTAACCAGTTATCATCTATGAAAATACCTCTTGATGATGAGTTACAGGCATTGTTACTTCTTAGTTCATTGTCAAAAAGTTAGGAGACACTAGCAGTTTCCCTTAGTAATTCTACACCTGATGGTGTTGTCACTATGAGCCAAGTAACAAATAGTTTGTTGAATGAGGAGTTGAGAAGAAAGAATTCAGCAACACCTTAGATTGATTCACAAGCACTTATATCAGATAATAGAGGAATGTCAAAATCCAAGGATAGAAGCGAATCACGCATAGGTAAAAGCAAGTCAAGAACAAGAAATTGTTTGTTACAATTGTGGTGAGAAAAGACATTACAAGAATCAATACAAACAACCTAAGAAGAGTAAGAAAAAAGAAAAAAAAGTGGAGCCTACAGAGTTAAAAAATAATACCACAACTACAGTGCAAGGTGGTAATTATTTGATTTTGTCTACTTCAAATGATATTTTTTCTTATGTGTCAGGATCTCGAATGGGTGATTGATACAGGTGCTTCTTATCATGCTACACCACGGAGGGAGTTCTTTGCTACCTACAAGTATGAAAATTTTGGTGTTATAAATATGAGCAACTATGGTACGACAAACATCATCGGGATGGGTGATATCCACACAAAGGCCAACCTTGGCTGCAAGTTAGTGCTTAAGGATGTGAGGCATGTGGTTGGCTTGAGATTGAATTTAATTTCAGTTGGAAGGCTAGATGATGAAAACTTTGATAACAAATTTTACATAACGCAATGGAAGCTCAGTAAGGGCTCTCTTATTATGGCTAGTGGAAAGAAATGTCATACTTTGTACAGATTGCAAGTCAAAGCTTGTGGTGAGCAACTAAATGCCACAGAAAAAGACTTCAACATAAAGTTATGGCATTGGCGACTGGGACACATGAGCGAGAAGAGACTGAAAGTTCTTTCCAAGAGAGAGGTATTGCCAGACTTCAGAGGTATACGTCTGAACCCTTGTATTGATTGTTTGGCTGGTAAACAACACAAAGTTTCATTTGCTAGTCTTTCTTTGTCTAGAAAAATGCATACCTTAAACCGTGTTTATACAGATGTATATAGTCATTTAAGGATAAAAACTCATAGTGGATCTGTTAATGTTCCTAGTATCAGTGGTGCACTTTATTTTGTCATTTTTATAAATGATTTTTCAATGAAAGTTTGGGCCTATGCTATGAAAACCAAAGATCAAGTTATTAATGTTTTCAAAGAGTTTCATACTAGAGTTTAAAAGGGAGACAGAAAAACAATTGAAATACATAAGATCAATTAATGGTGGTGAGTACATAAAATTGTTTGATGATTATTGTATATCACATGGCATCCAACATGAAATGATAGTCCCTGATACACCTCAGCATAATGCAATTGCAGAAAGGATGAACCACACCATCATGAAAAAGATCAGATGTATGCTTTTACAGGCCAAGCTACCCAAAAAGTTTTGTGATGAGGCTTTGAGAACTGCAATTGACGTGATCAACTTATCACCCTATACAACCTTAGATGGTGATGTTGCAGAGCATTATGGTCAGGGAAAGATGTTTCCTGTAGGCATTTGAGAGTGTTTGACTGTTGTGCATTTGCACACGTTCGAGACATTAAGAGGTCCAAGCTAGATGGTAAGACAAAAAGAATATATTTTTCTTAGCTACTCATATGATCAATTTGGTTATAGGCTTTGGGATCCAGAAAAGCAAAAAGTGTTTAGAAGAAGAGACATGATCTTCTTTAAGGATCAAACCTTGGAGGATTTGAAGGAGACACCAGCCAAGACTTTTGCAGAAGGATTAATAGATTGTGACCCAGTTACTCCTCCAATATATCAAGGCGATGAGGGAGATGAGCAAGAAGATGGTGGAGTCCGATGTTGATCTACCTGTAGGACATGTTGAGCAAGAAGAAGTTGGGGAGCAACTTCCCATAGAACCTCAATTGAGAAGATCTTATGTGATGCTTACTAATGCAAATGAACCAGAGAGTTACCACGAGGCAATTGAAAGTAAGCAGAAAAAAAAGTGATTAGTTGCTATGCAGGAAGAGATGGATGCTCTACAAAAGAACCACATATAATTTGGTGCAATTACCAAAGGGAATGAAGGTCTTGAAGAACAAGTGAGTTTTCAAGTTAAAGACTCGAGAACATTGTTCTCAACTAAAGTATAAAGCTAGATTGGTTGTGAAAGACTTGGAGTCAAAAGAAAGATATCGACTTTGAAGAGATTTTTTCTCCTGTTGTTAAAATATCTTCTATTCGTGTTACTCTTAGTATTGCTGCTCTTAGACTTGGAAGTTGAACGGTTAGATGTGAAGACAACTTTCCTTCATGGTGATTTGGAGGAGGAAATTTATATGGAGCAGCCAGAAGGCTTCAAAGTTAAAGGTAAAGAAAATTTTGTTTGCAAGTTGAGGAAGAGCTTGTATGGGTTGAAGCACGCTCCAAGACAGTGGTACAGAAAGTTTAATTTATTTATGACTGAAAATGGATACAAAAGAACAACTTTAGATCATTGTCTATACATCAAATGGTTTGGTGAGGATTTTATTATTCTCTTACTTTATGTTGATGATATGCTTATCCTTGGGAAAGATATGTCTAAAATTGACAAGTTGAAAAAAGAACTGAGTGAGTACTTTGCAATGAAGGACATGGGGCTAGCAAAGCAAATATTGGACATGTAGATTTCTCGTGATAGAAAAAGCAAGAAGATTTGGCTGTCACAAGAGAAATGCATCGAAAAGGTATTGGAAAGGTTCAGTATGAGCAATACAAAGCCAGCTGGTTCTCCCCTTTCAAGTTACTTCAAGTTGTGTTCAAAGCAGAGTCCGTCAAGTGATGAGGAGAAAATACAAAATATTCCTTATGCTTCAGCAATTGGAAGTTTAATGTACGCGATGGTATGTACAAGGTCGGACATCACATATGCAGTGGGTGTTGCTAGCAGATTTTTTGCAAATCCAAGCAAAGAGCATTAGGCAGCAGTGAAGTGGATCTTTATATATCTCAGAGGGAGCTCTAAAGTTTGTTTAAGCTTTGGAGGTGAACCACCCGTGTTAACAGGTTACACAAATGCAGATATGGCAAGAGATATTAATACGAGGAAGTCCATATCAAGTTTTGTACTTACTTTTGCAGGGGGAGCTATGTCATGACAATCCAGATTGCAAAGATGCATTACTCTCTCCACCATAAAATATATCGCTGCTATAGAGGTTTGCAAATAAATGTTATAGATGAAAGAATTCTTACAAGAATTGAGGTTGAAACAAGAAAACTACGTGGTGTATTGTGATAGCTGGAGCGTCATCCATTTGTGTAAGAACCCAATTTTTCATTCCAAGTCAAAGGCAGTGATTTAAAAAGCGCTAGGCGCCAAGGTCCAAAAACGCCCGAGGCGCTAGGCGCTCGCCCAAGCGC